TCTCTCTCTCTCTCTCTCTCTCTCTCTCTCTCTCTCTCTTTCGAGTGCCAGCCCGGGAGGGGAGAGGGAGTGAGTCTCAAGTAGGCTCCATGCTCAGTGTGCAGCCTGTTGTGGGGCTTGAACCCACAACCCTCGCATCATGATCTGAGCAAGAGTTGGACGCTCAACCGACTGGTGTCCCTGAAATGTTTTTCTAGTATTTATGATGAGTTTACTTTTTGAACTATTCCTCCTTATGACTAATGGAATGCATTTTGTGATTCATGGTAGGATTAGGTTTTTTGCCTATAAAATGTAACAAAATGATAAGTTCTGAAACAAATTATCTTCTATAGGATTTGCTCCTTGTTTCCTGCTGTCATCCCCCCCCCTTTTTTTTTTAATGTTTATTTTTGAGAGAGAGAGAGCATGAGGAGGGAAGGGGCAGATAGCTGAAATCTGGTGCTTCACCAACTGAGCCACCCAGGCGCCCCTCATGCTGCCATCCCTTTTAAAGCATCCATGTTTTTGCAGTGGCAGTGCCTATAATTTATTTTTCCTTAGTTTATCTCTCAAGTTTAGTTATTGTATCATTTCTTTTATTCCCATTTGCTTTACATTGATAGAAATTGATGTAATAGGTAATAAATGGAACTTTTTATACCTCAGAAGCATTTACTCATTTCTCATGGTTTTAAGTTTATTAGAAAAGCTCTGTGTGTCAGATTGAGATTTGTATTATCCTCTTGTTTAAAAAGCTATGCCTCTAGGGGTGCTGAAGCGTCCAGCTTTGGCTCAGGTCATCATCTCACAGTTGGTGGGTTCAAGCCCCATTTCGGGCTCTGCACTGACAGTGCGGAGCCTGCTTGGGATTCTCTCTCCCTCTCTCTCTGACCCTCTCCCACTTGCACCTTCTCTCTCTGTCAAAATAATTAAATAGGGTTGCCTGGGTGGCTTAGTTGGCTAAACGTCTGACTTCGGCTCAGGTCATGATCTCACAGTTTGTGAGTTTGAGCCCCACATTGGGCCCTATGCTGATAGCTCGGGGCCTGGAGCCTGCTTCGGATTCTGTGTCTCCCTCTCTTTTCCCCTCCCCCGCTTGTGCACACGCACGTGCGCGCGCTCTCTCTCAAAAATAAATATTAAAAAAATTTAAAACTAAATAAACTTTAAAAAAAAAAAAAAAAGCCATGCCTCTAGAGTGCCTGGGTGGTACTCTATCTCTCTCTTTCAAAAAAAGAAACAAAAATAAAAACAAACAAAAACACCATGCCTCTAATCTTGGGAGAAAATCTAATCAGAATTAAGGAAAGAGTGAGGCAGAGGTACTTACAGAAGAAATGTATTTTAATGCTTTTGAATTATTTATACCTTGTTCCTATTCTTAGTGCGAAAATTGATAAATTTATTATACAGTCAAGGATTTGAATTGTTCGCCAAAATTTTACAGGGTAGAATACACTGGGTGGAAAAACTCGAAACAAGAAATGTTTTACTAGAGTTAAAAATCTTAGCTGCTTAAATGTCATAATCAAATCTAACAGGAACAGGTTATAATTGTTTTTTTGAACTTCATTTCCAGATCATAGCAATGGATCATTTAACTTGAAAGCTCTGTCAGGAAGCTCTGGGTATAAGTTTGGCGTTCTTGCTAAGATTGTGAATTACATGAAGGTAAGTACTTTTCTCAAATGACACAAATCCTATTTAACTTTTTGGCAGGGGAAGAGGATTGGGATTTTCAGAAGTAAATTTGTATATACATGTCAAAATTTATCAAATTGCATGTTTCAATATGTGCAGTCTTTTGTATCCCTACTGCACCTCAGTAAAACTAAAAAATATTTAATATTTTAAGCCTTTTCAATCAAAAAGAATGAAATCTTGCCATTTGCAACTACGTGGATGGAACTGGAGAGTATTATGCTAAGTGAAATTAGAGAAAGACAGAAATCATGACTTCACTCATATGAGGACTTTAAGAGACAAAACATGAACAGAAGGGAAGGGAAACAAAAATAATATAAAAACAGGGAGGGGGACAAAACGAGACTCATAAACATGGAGAACAAATGGAGGGTTACTGGAGGGGTTGTGGGAGGGGGGATGGGCTAAATGGGTAAGAGACACTAAGGAATCTACTCCTGAAATCTTGTTGCACTCTATGATGACTAATTTGGATGTAAATTAAAAATAAAATAAAATAAAATAAAAAAATAAAATAAAATCCAATTAAAAAATATTTTAAGCCTTTTACATTATATCAGATTAGTACTGCTACAAGTTACTTAAGTATATTTAAAAAAATTTTTTTAAACGTTTATTTTTGAGAGACAGCATGAGCAGGGGAGGGGCAGAGAGAGAGGGAGACACAGAGTCAGAAGCAGGCTCCAGGCTCTGAGCTGTCAGCACAGAGCCTGACGCTGGGCTACAACTCATGAAACTATGAGGTCATGACCTGAGCTGAAGTCGGATTCTTAACCAACTGGGCCACCCAGGCGCCCCATATTTAATTTACGTTAATTCAACTATACAATTTAAGCCCACCATTTCACTTATAAATTAGCCCAGGCAGTAGATACAGTCACCTTCCAATTACTCAATACTTGCTGGCAAAACCAGTGGAAAGATGTGAATGATTTGCATACTCTTATTTCCACCGATGTGAAAAGTAAAAACTACGTAGTTCAGGCATATGGTGATGATGGCATTTCTGCAATCTTTGGAGGAGGAAACTAGAAAATTACTGAAGGTCTTAGAAAAACATTGTCTCACAAAAGACTTAGAATTTAAGATTTGATGGAGGATATACTGTTTGTTTTTTTTTTTGAGGTAAGTTTTGAACTTCTGATGATATAACATTTTGGCTTTACCAAAGACTTTGAGTCCTAACTTCACTTATTTAAAAAAAAATTTTTTTTTTCAACGTTTATTTATTTTTGGGACAGAGAGACAGAGCATGAACGGGGGAGGGGCAGAGAGAGAGGGAGACACAGAATCGGAAACAGGCTCCAGGCTCTGAGCCACCAGCCCAGTTCGCGGGGCTCGAACTCATGGACCGCGAGATCGTGACCTGGCTGAAGTCGGACGCTCAACCGACTGCGCCACCCAGGCGCCCCCTAACTTCACTTATTAAAATGAAATTTCATTTATGGCTAAATGATTTCAAATGTTCCCCCTTCTGCCAAACTCATTCCTTTTTAGTTACTATTTGTATCTCTTCAAAAAAAGTCAAAATGCTGTTTTTGTTATTTCAACGTTTTTATTTTATTTTTGGGACAGAGAGAGACAGAGCATGAACGGGGGAGGGGCAGAGAGAGAGGGAGACACAGAATCGGAAACAGGCTCCAGGCTCTGAGCCACCAGCCCAGAGCCCGACGCGGGGCTCGAACTCACGGACCACGAGATCGTGACCTGGCTGAAGTCGGACACTTAACCGACTGCGCCACCCAGGCACCCCTGTTTTTGTTATTTCAAATTTCAGCTATGTATTGCTTAAAATAGAAATCAAAATTTTGTTTTGTTAGGCCTTTTCTTGTGTAATTTAAGAGACTTAATGTCAATGTCTGACTCTGACTGAAATTTGTAGTTTATATTTGACTTGTAGTAGAAATCAGTTAGTTTGTAATTTCCCATTATCAAATAATACACTTTGATACATATTCACTATTCATTCATTCCATCCACTTATTCCCTTATGTGGTAAACAAGTTATTAAAACCTGTATGCTATTTATAGCATTAATGGTGGGACTACCTAGAAAAATATGCCCTCATGGCTGTTAGTTTATTGAGGGAGATTGACATTCAAATGTCATATTTTTGTTACTCTGTTGATAACAGTCTTCACTTAATCTGTATGACCCTTACTTCTCACTTTCTTTAGGACTGTTGTCTTCAAATTTGTGCTCAATTATTTCCTGAAACAGTTTCCAGAGATTGTGTGTCCCTTTGCACATATTGAAATTGACAATAACAGTTTTTCAGCAAAAGGATGGAATTTCTGACATATTGTCACATTTCAACAAAATACCTCTAAGGGGTTCTAAGTCCCATTATTTATTAAAAATGTAAACACAAACATATGTTTGGAAATTTTAATCATTTTCCTTTTGAACTTGTATGTCTGTTCTGTTACTTCCAGTGCATTTTATCCTAATGTTCTCTATTTTTATTCTTGAAAATATTTTAATCATCATCTGTCAAACTTATTTGCTACAATACTATATATAAATTGGAATTGGAAATGTTTTTCTTGAGGTGCCTGGGTGGCTCGGTCAGTTAAGCATCCAACTTCAGCTCAGGTCATGATCTCATGGTTCATGAGCTTGGGCCCCACATCAGGCTCTCTGCTGTCAGCACAGAGCCCACTCCGGACCCTCTGTCTCCTTTCTTTGCCCCTTCCCGGCTTGTGCGCACACTCTCTCTCTCAAAAATAAACATTAAAAAAACAAAACAAAACAACAACAACAAAAAACTTGTGACCATAAGGTTCTAACTACTGTCAAAATTATTAGCACACAGTTGATTAGAATAACTTACATATATTAAAATTTTGATAAAATTTGCTTTGTGTGTAATAGTTATTCAGCAGGGGTTCATTTTCTCAAAAAAATTTTCTTAATGTTCATTTACTTTCGAGAGAGAGAGAGAGAGAGGCATGAGTAGGGTAGGGGTAGAGAGAGAGAGAGAGACACACACAGAATCTGAAGCAGGCTCCAGGCTCTGAGCTGTCAGCCCAGAGCCTGACATGGGGCTCGAACTCATGACTTGAGCTGAAGTTGAACGCTTAACCAGCTGAGTCACCCAGGCGCACTTGGCATTATTTATTTATTTTTAACGTTTTTATTTATTTTTGAGAGAGAGACATCAACTGTGAGATCATTGACTTGAGCCAAAGTCGGACACCCAACTGACTGAGCCACCCAGGCAGCCCTCGGGGTTCATTTTTTAATGAAGTGAATGGAATTGTCTCCTCTCTTCTTCCAGAAGTTTTTGTATCTGGCGATATGTAATATGCATTGATAGAATGAAATCAGATTTGGCACCAATTTCTGTTCTTTTTAGATTTTGTAGGTTGTTTATTTATTAAAAAATAAGTGTTCATTTAAATAAGCTCGTTCTGCTGGAAGTTTTGTGATAGTAAAACCTTCCAAGTTATATCAGAAATTACTTAAAGATTTATCATCAAGCATCCATTAATTTAATGTTTTATTAGGTTCTACTCCTTCAGTTTTGTTGAAAGCAAAAGAATGAGAATCACCTAATTTGTCAAAGGATTTATTACCTGGTCCTAATTTTTTATGAAGTATATCATAAAGACTTTACCAAGACTTAGCAAATGTCTAATTATATCAGTTCCTCCTTCTTCCCCTTATAGGCATTTTCTTTGATATAATCATAAGTCATTGAGAAAATAAAAATATTATTTTTTTAAGTTTATTTATTTATTTTGAGAGCTGGAGAGACAGCATAAGTTGAGAAGGGGTGGAGAGGGAGACACAGAATCACAAGCAGGCTCCGCACCATAAGTACGGAGCCCAATGCAGGGCTTGAACTCCTGAAACCACAAGATCATGACCCAAGCTGAAACCGAGAGTTGGACCTTCAATTGACTGAGCCACCCAGACACCCCTCCCAAAAACATTATTAATTTCAGTGCATGTTTGCCAATGGAGTTTTTTCATAAGATGCTTTATCTTATTATGTGTATAAATATATTTTAGTCAACACCTGTAGGTTGAAAGTTTAGCTTGTTATATTTATAGAAAGTATCTTCCAGTTAACAAAGCTCGTCTCCATTGTCAGACCAACCAGTTATATCAAACTTGTTTTTAAAATTTTTTTTTTTTTTTCAACGTTTATTTATTTTTGGGACAGAGAGAGACAGAGCATGAACGGGGGAGGGGCAGAGAGAGAGGGAGACACAGAATCGGAAACAGGCTCCAGGCTCTGAGCCATCAGCCCAGAGCCCGACGCGGGGCTCGAACTCCCGGACCGCGAGATCGTGACCTGGCTGAAGTCGGACGCTTAACCGACTGCGCCACCCAGGCGCCCCCAAACTTGTTTTTAATCATAAAATATCTTTTCCTTTTAAGTTAAAATAAATAGGTTAAGCATATTTTAAGTAATATAAAAACCACTGAGAAGTTATAGAATTGCATACCGAAAGATACTATTAAGGTAGTTGAGGTTAAAATTATATGATGAGTCCAATAGAATTAATTTATCCTTTTTATAATTTTAAAAACAAATAGGCTGTTTACCTATTTGTATCATTATAAATTAATACGAAGGGATATGAAAAGTGTGTTACTGCTTTTCTAAATGTGTGGACTTACATCTTCTGATCTCTGGCATTCAGCTTTTAGATAGAAATAAAAGGGAATGATTCAGAAATAATGCCATAAATTTTATTTTGGGGTAATTAGTGATAAAGTAGAAGAATACCTATTGCTAAAAATGATTCATTCTTACAGTGAGCTATGACTGATTTTTTTTTTTTACTAGAGGTAGAATATTAAAGTGTTCAAAAGAGAATTTACTTAGAATAAAAGTTTCATGATATGATTTACAAAATAGGTTTTAACTATGTCGAATAATGCTTAATCTAAAATAGTTTGTATATAGTTTTTGTGGGTTTTATGGAGCATAATTTGAATAATTTGGTGTTCC